CCAGCAGCTGCGGGAGGGGAGGCAGGAGGCCAGGCCAAGGCCAGGCAGCAGCGCGGGAGGGACGGGGTCCCCAGGGCCAGGCAGCAGCTGCGGGAGGGACGGGGACCCCAGGGCCAGGCAGTGGCGCGGGAGGGACGGGGTCCCCAGGGCCAGGCAGCAGCGCAGGAGGGACGGGGTCCCCAGGGCCAGCAGCTGCGGGAGGGACGGGGACCCCGCCACGCTCAGCGCTGCCAGCCCAGGCTGCAGCCCTGCCTGTCCCCGAGGAGGGAGTTCAGGGCTGGGGAGAGTGATCTCTCATGGGGCACGGGGCTGATACGTTCAGGGTCCTGCCTGGACTCCCGTGACGACCATCTGCAGCTGCTCTTCATGATTACTTCTTAGCAGGGAACCGCTGTGAACACACTCCCCAGGGCAGAAAGTCACATAGATGGAGTGAGATGGGGTTGCAGCAAAGTGTTTCCAGTTTTCATGAAGCAGGAAAGCCCCAAAGATGTTAAGATCCGGCTTTGCCCTTGACCTGACCAGACTTTGGGTCCAGTCACATACTAGTGGTATGATCTTGGCGGACACACCTCTTAGCTCTTTCTCTGTGAAACAGGGTGACAGTAAGATCTACGTCACAGGTTCCAGCAAGAATGAAATAACATGATGTACATAACATAGCACTTGTTAAACATTCAACCTTACTGTTCATTTTTATGAATATAAAAAATTCATTACCATGAATGAAGTCTATTAAGATGCATTAGAACTTTCTAAAAAGTTATGTTTTTATAATAATTCTGTGATTAATTTCTGTCTTTTCAACCAGCCTCATGAGGGTTCAAAGAGAATAATCACTTTATGATGTTGTGGTGTTGTTCCGTCGCTAAGTTAAGTCTGACTTTTTGTCACTCTGTGGGCTGTAGCCCGCCAGGCTCCTCTGTCCATGGGATTCTCCAGGCAAGAATACTGGAGTGGGTTGCCGTTTCCAGCTCCCATGGATCTTCCCGACCCAGATATTGAACCTATGTCTCCTGCATTGGCAGGCAGATTCTTTACCACTGAGCCCCCAGGGAAGCCCTTATTATGGCACAGGGAAGCCTTGACTGACATATTGCTAGAGATGCTACACATATATTAAAGGTATGTAGACCAAATTTCATGAATAAATCCTATTTTAATTATTCTAAAAGAGTGACATTACTCAAATACAGGGCACGTGTGTAATGATTAAGAGCAATGGCTTTGGAGTCAGACAGAAGGGGGATCAAATTCAAGCCTTTACATTCCCTAGCCTCAGCTTCTTTTTGCTTTAACACTTCCTAAATATTTAATGTCTTTTTTTTTAGTAGTCCATTTTTCATAACCAAAGTATAGTTGATGTACAACATTGTATAAGCTACTGGTGTACAATGTAGAGATCTGCAATTTTTAAAAGTTATACTCATTTATAGTTATTATCATTCCCCATGTTGGCCAATATATCCTGTAGCTTATTTTATGCCTGATTGTTTGTACCTCTTAATGCCCTCCCCTCTCAACTTCTCCATCTGTGAATTTGTCCTTCCACTCAGTGACTTTCCTGGGGGCACCTGTATGCCAGGCATTGTTCCAGGGAAGGAGTCCCTCCTGTAGGATCGGAAGGAAAGGTGGGGCACAGCTGGCCCAGCGCCTGGAGCACGGGCGGGACCCCCCACAGGAAACCTGCCCACTCATCGCACACTCCCCGTGGTAGAACCCGGAGCGGAGACGAGGGACAGAGCTGGGGGACGTGGACCCCCCACAGGAAACCTGCCCACTCATCGCACACTCCCCGTGGTAGAACCGGGACGGAGACGAGGGACAGAGCTGGGGGACGTGGTCTCTACCCTTGTGGGTGTGTGTAGTCGCAAAGAGAAGACAGACAGATAACAGAGGACAGCTCCAGGTCCCGGGCGCTCCGCACAGCGGGAACCCAGGGAGCTGAGACGCCCAGAAGGGGGAACCCAGGGAGCTGAGACGCCCAGAAGGGGGAACCCAGCGAGCCGAGCTCACGAGGAGAGTCAGGGGGTCTGGGCGCGAGCAGGCGGCAGCTGTCATCCAGGCCAAGCACGCGGGCTCCCCGTTCCTTCCCTCAGCAGCCTTCGCTGCTGACACGGAGTTGTGTGAAATCCCTGGGCTGGCGCTGAGGCTGAGGGAAGTACTGCCACTCAGCTGGGACTGCCTTCACAAGTGATCGGATTCAGGGAGTTTAAACTGTCTCAGATCTCTTCGATTCACAGAATGTGGGAGTATGATTAGCCTCCCGATGCACGAAAAATTCGGGCTTGGAGGGCTGGAAGCAGCAATCGTTTCGGGGATCTGAGACTCTCAGAACCTGAGAATTTGGGGCTAAAGGAAAAGGGCCTGTGGAACAACTATCGGGAGGGTTTGTAAGGGGGCGAGGGCTGCTGGAGTGAGGCTGAAAGGGTCTCTGCAGGCGAACGCAGTCAGGTTCCTGGCCTCCTTCTGAGTGTCTCACCCATCCCACCACCAGCGGGTTCTGCCACCCACCGCTGACAAACTCCGCAGAGGCAGGGGCGCAGGACTGACAGCTAACTTCGTTTTAGGATCGTTTCTCTACAAAAATGTGACTGGAATATATTGCCTTTTATTACCTCTTATAATCATCGAGTTGAAAAATGGTAAAGTTAAGAGAGACTGCATGGGGAAAAAAAGCAGGAAAGAAAAATGGGTGTTTTAAAAATAACATACTGAAGTCTTACATAGCAATACATAAGGTATGTTACTGAATTTTCAGAGCTGTGCGGTTGTTCTCAGCCCATTTTATAGATGAGGAAATTAATGGTAAGGGCAGGGGTCAGCGGGTGCTAGGTGACTTGTGTGAGGAATACACAGCCAGTAAGAGGAATACTTGAATTCAAACCCAGGTCCGTCTGAATTCAAAATACCAGTCTTTTTCCTTTAGGCCGCACTATTCAGCTTAAGCAAAGTAATAACAATATCAGGGTTTATTGAGCACTTATTATCTACTAGGCACGGCTGTAAGCACTGTACTAGTGGCAACGCATTTAATCCTCACTTTAATCCTTATTTAACCTGTGATTTGATAGATATTGTTATTCCCACTTTACAGAGAGGTACTGCTTCCCTGGTGGCTGAGAGGTTAAAGCGTCTGCCTGCAACGCAGGAGACCTGGGTTCGAACTCTGGGTCGGGAAGATCCCCTGGAGAAGGAAATGGCAACCCACTCCAGTATTCTTGCCTGCAGAATCCCATTCATGGAGGAGCCTGGTGGGCTACAGGCCACGGGTCAAAAAGAGTCGACACGACTGAGCGACTTAACTAGAGCCAGTGAGCAGCCAGGACTGTATTCTTGTGGGAAGGTGAATCAGTGCAATATGCAATGCTTTATTTTTAAATCAAGAATCGCTCATTCTTTCCTTTATCCCTTCTGGATACAGGAAACGTCTTCCATCATTTCAAAGATTTTTCAAAATGTTAACACAAAATATATCTCAAATTAGTGTGTACTGATGCGCTGGAGAAACCGTCAGAGACAGATGGTCAAAAAGACCTAAAAACAATGAGATGGGTGTTCCTTTAGTGTGTGTGTTTTTTTTATCTGCACCCACGTGGGATTCCCTGGTAGCTCAAAGGATAAAGAGTCTGCCTGCAATGCAGGAGACCTGGGTTCGAACTCTGGGTCGGGAAGATCCCCTGGAGAAGGAAATGGCAACCCACTCCACTATTCTTGCCTGGAGAATCCCATGGATGGAGGAGCCTGGTGGGCTACAGGCCACGGGTCAAAAAGAGTCGACACGACTGAGCGACTTAACTAGAGCCAGTGAGCAGCCAGGACTGCATTCTTGTGGGAAGGTGAATCAGTGCAATATGCAATGCTTTATTTTTAAATCAAGAATCGCTCATTCTTTCCTTTATCCCTTCTGGATAAAGGAAACGTCTTCCATCACTTCAAAGATTTTTCAAAATGTTCACACAAACTATATCTCAAATTAGTGTGTACTGATGCGCTGGAGAAACCGTCAGAGACAGATGGTCAAAAAGACCTAAAAACAATGAGATGGGTGTTCCTTTAGTAGCCAGATAGAGAGTTTTCTACAGAGACCCTGCAAAGAGAGTGGATTCCTAAAGCAAAAGGGAAAAACCAGTTCGGGGCTCTAAGAATGCGAGAAGGAATTCCAGTACTACAGAAATACTATCGCTTTGCCCTCTGTTTTGTCTCTTAAGCATACTTCACATTTCTCCTTCAAGGCACACTGCCCTTTGAATCGCGGTGGACTCTTAATATATGTATTTTATAGACATCCTGTAATTTCTCCTATTTCAAAAAGTTTTTATAAAATATGTAATAAGGCAGCAGATTATTTCTTTCTTCTAGTTAATTAAGCCTTTTTGTAGGTGGAATCCATACACTGTCACAAAAATACAGTTGGGTCAGTTCACAGTTTGACCAGAAGTAGCCCTCAAAAGGATCAAGCCCTTCCCTTTAACTATATGACTCGATTGTACTTGCCATGACTTCAGAGGGCCACTGGAGGGGACAGGCCATTTGTCGGAAGTCCAGAGGGTCCCCGCGGACAATCGTAGGATAAAGGCCATGGACATTTGTAAGACTGTCCTCCTGCCGTGTCTACATTTCCATGGCCCCTTAATACGTATTCCACTTGCCCATCTGCCTCGTCAGCTCACAAAAATCACTCTCACTCAATAACGGTGTGAGCTGGGTAGGTCACTTAACCTCTCTGTGCGGGAAAAAAGGACCATGAAGTTTCCATGAGAAATAAATGAGCGTATATGTGTGAAACACTCAGAAGAGGGTCTAGCACATAGTAGATACTCAATAAAACTGTTAGGTATTGCATTTAAGTGTGTTGTTATTGTGGGATTCTTTTTCTTAGGAATCTTAGGTCTTGGATAGATAGTACTGCAAAAGAAAAATCACCGTGGTGACTTTCTAGCCTAGGGGATTGCCTACTTCTTAACTGGTGTCTCTTTTCTCTCCTGTGTCCCCGACAGAGATTACCTCGGGAACTCTGACTTATGGAGCAGGTGCCAAAAGCCTAGCGACGTGGTTCCCTGGAATCTGACCCTCTTCTCCATCCTGCTGATCGTAGGGGCAGTTCAGATAATTATCTGTGCCATCCAGGTGATCAACGGCCTCCTGGGGACCCTGTGTGGAGACTGCCAGTGTTGTGGCTGCTGCGGGGTAAGCTGAGGTCTTTGGTCAAGTCAGGCCACCAGCGCACATGGGACGAGGGGGTGGAAAGAGCGGCGGCTGCAGGATCTCCAACCGGGCTGCAAGGCCCAGGCAGCTCCTCTCTCAGCCAAGGGAAGCTGCTCGCTATGATGCTGTTAGCAGCATACCTAGGCTGATGCTGAGCACTTTCAGTCTTGCCCCCACCTGACCAGAGTTCTGAAGGCAAAGGACTCCATACACGCATAGAAGTTTATGATAAAGTCTACATGAAGAGTGTCAGGAAGTGGACATCTGTTATAGGAAGACACATCACAGTCTGTTCCCAAATGTTCTCTTTCCTAGCTCGATCTACACGGTGGGTTAAAGCTGTCACGTAATGCATGAAGGGTACTTTCTTCCCCTTGGAAAATATATGGGAGAGAGAAATTGTTCTTAAGTGCAAGAAACAGTGGAAATCATTAGGGATTTCCTCTCCAAATATGACTGTAAATTATCAACACTATGAAAAATAAACCTATGGACAGTAAACCAAGGGGATTATTTCAACTACTGAATGAGCCAGATGAGGAAATTATTTCATACACATGAAGTTATTTTTAAACACAGATTAAAGTATGAGGAAAAAATTAAATAGGACTCAAGTGTTGGGGACTTCCCTGGCAGTCTAGTGGTTAAAGCTCTGCGCTTCCACCGCAGGAAGCACAAGTCTGATTCCCAGTCAGGGAAGTATCATAAGATCCTGCATGTGACGTGCTGTGGCCAAAAAAAAAGGTTGGCTAGAACTTCAGAGTTCCCTTATAGGGGAATTATGTAAACAAGTATAAATAAAGGTCCATCTACTTAATATAATATCATACCCAAATTAGAAATGATCCAAATATTTTTTTCAAATAGTTCTTATAAGCAATATATGTATATAAGTCAACAATTGTATGTGTGTGTGTGTGTGCACAGAAATCTAGGGAGGTGTTCAGTTAGAAAATCTGTGCCCTGACCTTGTCTTTCACCCATCAATTTCTTCAGTTATGTGATTCTTATATATCCTCCCAGAGTTTCGTTGTTATTGCTTCCATTTCCTCTACCTTAAAAGGATTTTTTTTCAAAACTGTAATAATACTGAAAATGCTTATAAGATGCTGTTATTTAAAAAGAGCAATATACAAAAAGTATATACAAAACACACAATTATATAAATTTTAGAAATCAATATTCTAAACGGGAAAAGAATCTAAAAAAGAATAGTAAATGTATATGTATAACTGAATCAGCTTGCTATACACCTAAAAGTAAGACCACATTGTAAATCAACTATCTGTGTGTGTACTTAGTCGCTCAGTCGTGTCCGACTCTGTGTGACCCCATGGACTGCAGCCCACCAGGCTTCCCTGTCCATGGGGATTCTCCAGGCAAGAATACAGGAGTGGGTTGCCATGCCTTCCTCCAGGGGATCTTCCCAAACTAGGGATCGAACCCAGGTCTTTCGCGTTGCAGGCAGATTCCTTACCAACTGAGCTACCAGGGAAGCCCGACTAGACTATAGTCCAATATAAAATAAAATTTTAAAAATAAATAACATAAAATAAATAAAAACTCAAACACAATGAGTAGAAAAAAGACCTAAAGGAAATCCAACAAAAATGCTTAATGGTAATTATTTGTAGGTAAGAAGACTGACTTTTTCCCTTCCTTTGAGCTTATATTATTCAAAAATGTTTAACAATCATATATTTTGAAATATAAAAAATATAAATGAAAACTTCTTCCCAAAGCCAAGAGTAAAATGCATATATTAAAAATAAATTTCCCTGACTATTGGATTTTTGTTCTATAAACTTTCAATTCTATGATGTTGTATTTAAATTTTTTGGTCTTAAAACACAATTGGGGAGAAAAGAAAACTACCAGTTAGAAATCCATCAAAATTATTTTTATGGTAGTGGTTAAGAGTACTGAGCGTTTGAATTTTGTAATTCGTCCAACAAGAATGCAAGCTTGCTAAATCAGCTCATTCATTTCAAACACTGACATTATTTCTTTTCCTGCTTTCATGAAATAAGTTACATTTTTTTAGTTAGGTAGCAAATTTTCATTGCAAGTATAATTGGAAATACAACTGTTCTTCTAACAGAAGATAGCAGTTACTAAATCTGAGGATTATCTATAAATTAAAAACATACCCACAGGTCATCAAGCTAAGTGAAGTAAATCAGACAAAGAAAGACAAATACTGTATGATATCACTTACATGTGGAATCTAAAAACCACAGCTATTGAATATAACAAAAAAGAAGCGGACTCACAAATAGAGCAAACTAGTGGTTGGCTGCGGGCAATACAGGGGTGGGGAGTGGGAGGCACCGACTGTTCCCTGTAAGGCAGGCTGCAACACAGGGAATACAGCCAATGTTTTGCAATAATTGTAAATGGAAGGTAACCTTTAAAATTTTATTAAAAATGTTTAAAATTAAAAATTACAAAACAGAAAAACACACCCATAGTTGTAGTCTGTTGCGTCTTCAGTGAGTGTCATCTATTCAGACTCCATATTTCAGCAGTTTTAATGAATAAATCACCTGATAGTGATAAGAAAGTTGCTGAACACTCTAGCTGGCACTAGAGAATCACAGAGAATGAATGTACACCAACAGAATTCTCTTCCCTCCTTCCTTCTCCATCTTTTTATTTGGATAACTTCAAATCCATGTAAAATTTTAAAAAACAATACAGTGAACACCCATGCCTTTTCACCTAGATCCACAGACTGTTAACATCAGCTTGCTCTCTGCCTGCACCTTTGGAAAGTAATTCACAGACGTCATGAAACCTTACTACTAAATATTTCAGTGCACACGAGAGCTACATTGGAGGGGGAAAAAACAACAACAGTGGTCTGCTGATGATCCCGGTCTTGTGGGCAGCCCCCCTTTTGCACAGCTGGTCTGGGTCCCTGCCACAGGAGGACTCGGGGGAGTGCTGGGCTCCCAGTTAATCACTCACTTGCTGAGTGAGCTGAGCAAGCTGCCTAGCTTCCAGAAGCTTCGTTCTCTCAGCCACCTCCTGCCGAACTTCCATAGAGAAGATGCAGATAGACATCCATCCATTCAGACAGGAAGTATGTATTGAGAGGTCCCTGGCCTGGCACAGTCCTCACATGAGGTAATAGGTGGAAACGTGCCTCAGAATACCAGCTGTTGAATGCCAGCGGTGCGGTCTTAGCCAAGCTGGTTGCCCTCAACTGTGTCTTTGCCTATAAAACGTGATTGTTAAACCTTCTTCCGAAGGTGCTGAGTGAGCATCTAACCTGGGGTCATCAATGTGCATCCAAGTCGGGACTTCTCTGCTGGTCGAGTGGTTAAGACTCTGTGCCACGGCAGGGATCCAGGGTTCAATTCCTGGTTGGTGAACTAAGATCTCACATGCCACACGGCACAGCAGGGGGAAAACGCATCCATGTCAGTAACTAGAAGGCTCAGGACACTGTACTGTTATTTCCTTAAGAGGATGGAAATCTGTATAGCAGCCTCAGTTCAAGAAAAGAAACACAGCTCCTGGGTTCCCCCTCCCAGGGTTCTCTACTTTTTAATTCCTGGCTTCTCTATCTATTAACAATGGCTTCAGACACATCACTTGAGCCCTCTGTTCTGCTTATTAAAAATTAATTTTGATAATAAAGTGAAGCTTCCACACTTCTAGCCTAAACATCGGTAAGCGACAAAGCTCTGAACCAAAGTCAGGGAAGTATAGCGAACGTTCAATAAGTGACCAGTAAGGGCAAGAGTCACAAGACTGAGGGGGCTTCCCCTTGGTAAAGAATCCCCCAGGCAACGCAGGACGTGCGGAGGCGGGTTTGATCCCTGCGTCGGGAAGATCCCTGGAGAAGGGAATGGTACCACACTCCAGTATTCTTGCCTGGGAAATCCCAAGGAGAGAGGAGCCCAGTGGGCTACGGTCCACGGAGTCACAAAGAGTCGGACACAGCTGAGCTCACAAACAAATTAGACAAAGAAGGGTGATGGGGAGGGGAAAGTACACACACACAGAAATGACATTGCATTAATTAATTTTCTCTGTCTTCTAGGGAGATGGGCCAGTCTAAACCTCCATGATGAGCTGTTGTAACCTGATGGCGTGTGAGACGATATATTAAACTTAATTCTCTTCTTGGAGTTGCCAGTTCCTACCTGCTTCCTAACTGACAAAGCTTAGGGAGGCCAGAGTTATTTCTTCTCCTTTCTAACCAGCTCAGTTCAACTTAGAATTTTGCTAGTTTCAAATAAAAAATAGTTTGGCCACTTAAGGAATATTTATGAATCTTTCCAATTAGCTTCCTTTTATCATCGAAGAGCAGGTTCAAAGCAAACGTTTCATAATTTTTTCTCTAAGAATGAAAAATGTATAAGAACACGTGTGCTCTGTTCTGCTTCTGTGTACATAGAGATGTTAATATCCTTGGAAGTTTTACAGAAGTCAAAGGAGTAAATCACATTAAAAACGAGAAGCTAAGACCAATTTTTATTTTAAAGATTTATGGGGAAAACAGAATGACTGATGTATCATAATTTTTATTTATTGCCTTTTGTGCTAACATGTTTGAATTACTTGTGACTAATCTTTTGAGCCTGACATCATTTACTAGGGTTTCCCTATGTATATTAAATTAAAATCAGAATTCAAAGGTAATATCATAAAGATTGTGTGTTTTCGAGGAAGGAGGGGCAAAAGATTAAATGAAAATTCATGTTTTCTACAAATGCTTCCTTTGAGCAAACAAAAACAATGTTTTTAAAAAATTGATTTGGGTGAAATCATTCTGTCAGCCTACGGCCCAGGAGTAAGGTAATAGGTATTATCAGTTCTACATGTTGTATTAGGCCATTAGCTTTGGTCTTATGAATCAGGCACTAGTATAGAATCAAATTCATTCCACTGATTTGAGTTCAAACTCCATCTATCCACATGTCAGCTTGGGGATCCTGGGAAAGTTACTTTCTAAACCTCCGTTCCTCCATCTGTATAAAGGACTACTGAAAAGCAGTCAACCATCCAAGAAGGGTTGCAGTCCCTCAAGGGGAAGCAAAGAGATCTGTGGGGTTGTCCACACTGCTGATGTATATGACAAGGAGGGTTCTCGGAGGCTGATACAAGCTAGCATCTCACTTCTGCACCTGCCAAGCCGATGGGCGGCACTATATAAGTCAGGCACACCAAAAACTGGGTTTCTCAGAGTCACCAGAAAGACGGTTCCTAATCACAGTGCTGGCCTCTGGAGACTGGGCCCTGAAGACCCAGCATGCTGTGATTTTGCCCTCACTGTATGAGAACTCTGAGGTCAGAGAGCGCACCTGTCACTAGCTAAGCGGAAGGAAGAAGGCAGGCAGATAGGCAATTAAGATCTCATTTGATGGGGGCTGGGGAGCGGCGGTACTTCCCTGGTGGACAGTAGTTAAGACTTTCCTTCCAATGCAGAGAATGCAGGTTCAACCCTGGGCTGGGGAGCTAGCATCCCACACATCTTACTCCCCAAAAATCAGAACATAAAAAACAGCAGAAGCAGTATTGTAACAAATTCAATAAAGACTTTAAAAATGGTCCATATAAAAAAAAATCTTTGAAAAAACTCTCATTGGGGGAACTATGAACGCAAACAGTCACACACGTACACACAATGTGTTTCATATCAGTTTAGACCATTGGTTTTCCAACATGGCTGATCACTAGAGTAGCCTAGGAAATGTTCTAAAATTATGATTCCTGAATCCCAGCTTAGACCTACTACACCTGAAAATCTAGGCATGCGGCATGAAAGTTTGTCTTTTTTTCCATTCTGTAGTGTTTCAAGCTCCCCAGGTGATGCTAAAACCCAGCCTCTTTGAGCAACCATTGATTGAAATCATAGGCTGGTGGGCATCAAGGATGACAATGGGTTGGACCCCGTGATAGCTTGTCGGGAGCTCACACTTTACTGATGAATATTAATTAACGGAATACATACTTAAGATGAGGAGGAGGATGAGCAAAACAGAAAGAATAGGCCCAAGGTTTAGAAAAATTCATGGGAGAGAACCATTGAGATTGGCCCCAGGAAAGAAACAAGTCTGCCTTTCTACAAAATTACTTTGTCCTGTGTTAAAAATACTGATTGGGTGATGTCCACCTTAACCCATGTCAGTCATGGTTCAATCAGAAATTAAAGATCTCTGAGTATATAAATTGCAAGGATTTTCCTTTACTAACTGTGGGAGCTGGGTAAGCATTCTCTGATCAACCAGGGGTCCCCAACCTCCAGGATCTAATGCCTGATGATCTGAGATGGACCTGATGTAAAAGTAAGAGAAATAAACCACACAATAAATGTAATGCTCTTGAATCATCCTGAAGCTACCCCACCTATCTTGGCCCGGGGAAAAATTGTCTTCCACAAAGCGAGCCCCTGATGTGAAAACGGTTGGGGGCCACTGTTTCCAGCTGTCGTCTCAGCATCTAATGCCGGGGCTTGAAGTCCACAGGGCAGAATCTGCAAGGGAAGATGGATGTGAGGGCTGAGAGAGCGTGAATGAGCTGGAACCCACAGCATGAGCCGAAGCCCGTGAGGAGGCCCTGGAACCCGTGGCGGTTCTCATCGCCTCTGGCTTCAGTGGAATGTCCCGCGGAAGCCGGAGCCAGGGGAGGTAAACACCGTGGGTGTGGTGGGCCCGGGGTCAGAGAAGCCGCTGATCCCAGGAGGGGTGAGCAGATGCACACCCAGTTGCTGCCTGGTGTCAACGGCAGCGTACAGAAACCCCAAGGCGCCCCTGCTTCTTGATGCCCTCCAGGGCCGGCAGCCATCGTCCTTGTGGTCCTCCCGACTGGGAGACAGGACTTTGGGGCACGCAGTTTGCCCTAGGCGTGCTGACACATTACACAGCCACCACACTCAGATGGGAGAAGGGGATTGTTTTTTCAACTCCCTTGACTGTGTGTATCAGGCATCCCCAGTCCACAGGCTTCAGACCAATACCTGCTATCAGATCAGCGGCGGCATTAGATTAGAAATAAAGTGCTCAGTAAGTGTAATGAGCTTGAATCATCCTGAAACCATCCCTTGCACCCTGGTTTGTGAAAAAAATTGTCTTCCACGAAACGTCCCTGGTGCCAAAAAAGGCTGAGGCCCGCCAGTGTAGGTGTCTTATTTCTTAGTGTAGATCAGGGCTTCTCGGGCTCCACGCGTGAGCCGTGTGGGTGAGATGATTCTTTGCTGGCGTGAGGAGAGCTGTCAGCGCACCATAGGATGTCTGGCAGCATCCTTGGCTTCTCCCGACCAGATGCTAGTAACAACCTCTCCTTCTCAGTCGTAACAACCAGAAATATCCCCAGACGCTGGTAAGCGTGCCTGGGGAGAGGGGGCAGACTCACCCACGCTGAGAAGCACTCATCTGTTGCTTAAGCAGAAGAGCCACAGTTCTTTGTCCTGGAAACCAACGCAGTGTTAACACACACGATGGGCTCGGGGACTGCATGAATCCTCTCCTAAGTCCATAAACAAGTGTGGGCCCATCATCAAGCGACATGCAAGCATTGAAAAGGAGAGACACCGCTCTTCAAACCCTCTGACTTCCGAGCACTGCCTTTTGTATTGTTGTTATTCATACCCACTCCCGGGCTGAGCTTTCCTGGCTGCTCGAGGGCGTTTCTCTGGTTGCGACAAGAGGGGACTACTCTCTAGGGGCCGTGTGCGGGCTTCGCCTTGCCGAGGCTTCTCTTGGTGCGGAGCACACGCTCCGGGGCCAGACGGCTGCAGTAGCTGCGGCGTGTGGGCTCAGGAGTTGCAGCCCCCGGGGCCCAGAGCACAGACTCAGTAGCTGTGGCACACGGGCTTAGGTGCTCCGTAGCATGTGGGACCTTCCTTGGTCAGGGATCAAACCCTCGTCTCCTGCGGCGGCAGGCGGATTCTTTACTACTGAGCTCCCAGGAAATCTGCGGAGCGCTGCTTCTCTCGGTCTAAATAGGCTCCCCGGGGGGATCTTCACTGTGGTTTCATGACAGTGCTCATGACCTCCACGTCTTTTTCTCCAGTACAGACCACCGCCCTGCCTGCTAAATGTCTGTTTTTGAATTTCTCATTGGTATCTCAACGCAACATTTCTAAGCTGAACTCTCCCAGTCCTTCCATACAGGCTTGTTCTGAAATCTTTGTCTTAGTTGGGAGAAGGAAATGGTTTTTTTAAATTTTTTTTTTTTTTTACAGTCATCATCTATATCGGGCAGACACAGAAATGTAGGAGTGAGCCACGACATGTCCTAAACACAAAGTTTAGCATGCCCCTGCCCTATCTATGCTTCCCAGGTGGCGCTAATGTAAAGAACCCACCTGCCAATGCAGGAGATGTAAGCGATGTAGGTTCAATCCCTGTGTAGGGAAGATCCCCTGGAGAAAGGAATGGCAACCCAGTCCAGTGTTCTTGCCTGGAGAATCCCATGGATGGAGGAGCCTGGTGGGCTGCAGTCCACAGCGTCACAAAGAGTCGGAGACGACTGAATACGCTTGCATGCCCTTTCTATGACTTCCAGCACCTGACTCCCGCTGGCTTCTGTCCTTACTCTGCCTGAAACTCAGGGATGCGGTAACTGCCTGATGTCCGGGCACCCCACACACTCTTTGTATGTTGTGTGCTGTCTGCCTGGGAACCCTCTCTCCCTGTTACTCCTCAGCGTAACAGTCTCTTCCTCAAGGCTCAACTCAGTTCTCATCTTGTTCTTCCTGCATCACTGTACCTCCAGCTAAGTCACAACGCCTGCATAGTCTCCCATGACATCCCGCATATGTGACAATGATTGCCCTTTGTAGATTATATCACCTAACACTTCCTTCTTTCCCCCTGGACTGAGAACTCCTCCAACTCAAACTCTGTCTCAATGTTTGTACCTCTTCCCAGCTCTGGGCCTGAAACATAGTATTGGCTTGGCCAAAAAGCTTGTTTGGATTTTTCTACGGGCTGTTATGGAAAAACCCAAATGAACTTTTTGGCCAACCCAATAAATACTCACTGAATGGGCTGTTACCCTGGTTATGGTTCCATGACTAGAATTATTCTCCTCAAAGGAAAGAAAAAGCTATTCTCAAGCATTTTAGAGTCAAGCATTTGTACCAAAAAAAAAAGAACTTGGCATCCATATATACCCAGAAATCTTGGCAAGTGATACACATGGAGAATTTACTTAATCTTCCAAACAACCAGCCACGTGTTCACAACCGCCCATAGCTCAGCCACTGCTTGGTCTTCACTGAGTTCTGATGAGGCTCTGCTCCTCCCCACAGGACCATGAGCTCTGCTCGCTTCCAAGCCTGGGCAAGCACTACAGCATTCCTCCTTCAGCTTATCTGGGAAATGGGCTGACCCAGTTAGACACTGTTACTGTCAGACCCCAGCATTCATGCACCCTTGCTCACCCACCTTCCGATTGCGACAAAGGTCTGCTTACCCCTCCCATACAGGAAAGGCCTTTTTTATTTATTTTTGATATGCCTACATATTTCTGAGATTGGAGATTCTCCCGTTGCAATAGCCCTTTTGAATTGTTTCCCTTTTCTAAGTCTGGGTTTGTTTATTTGATACAACTCTATGATGAAGAAACTACAATTAGCCCATTTTGTATGAGACTAAAGTGAAGCTTAGAAAAAAATCTAACAAATAAATTCTCCA